CTGAACCTGTGCATGTAGAAATTTTTGAAATGGTGTATCTTTGGCTATGTGTATTTTCACCAAACAAAAAAAGAGGCTGAGAAGTTAGAGGGTTGATATGTTGTGGGGTTGTTAACCAATGTTATAAAACAACATGCGTACTTCTGTTTCATGAGAATCTGTAAGCCTTCACCTAAAGTACAATAAAAAATAAAAATAAAATAAGAAACGTCGATTAGTTCTTAGACTAACAATGACATGCAATTTTGTTACCTTGGTAACACCTAAAACATTAACTTATATACACGTATTCAATAAATTCTATCATAAAATATGTTGATTTACTAGGTTATATATAAAACTGTGAAAGCTAGCCTTGAGCTTGTGTCCCTGGTTTTGGTTCTCACCAGGGAGGTTGGGCTGGGGAAAATTGCTTTGATAGGTGAGCTGCTGGTCCCACCACTGCTCGGTGGGTTGATTCTCTTTTCCTTCTGGCGGCGGTTACAAAACCAAACACGGATCACCTCTTTTTCCATATTGAGCTGATCAGCAATCATGGTGATCTCTTCCGAGGTAGGCTTTTGATTCTGAAAGGAAAAAAAATCCTCTTTTGGAATAATTTTTTGAACTGCTGGCATAATTATGTCAGCATATAAATAAACCAAGAGTGGGAGGGCCAAGGCAGAGAATGAAGCTGGAATATGTATGACCTTATTAGCCCACTTTTAACAAAAAGCTTCTGTACATAACATTCTAATTAATAAGTATTTACTAAATTTATTTGTATTAAGTTAGAATGAGTTAGTCTCACATATTTGTATTTTTTCATTTTTAAAGTCTATTAATCTTGAATAAAATTAGCGAAGTATCAATACAACCATGGGAATTAGTAGGAATTGAAGAGTTTTCTCAATGCTTCATGCACATTATCTAGTTTGGACCCCACAATAAGCCTGTCAGGCAGGAAAGGCAAGTATTTCACAAATGTACGGACTTTAACTTAAATAAATCCAATTGAGAAAGACTCCTAACTCAATGCTTCCATTGTGCTTAAGCCTCCTTTTCTGAATTAAATAAGTCAAAATCTTGTTGAAAGCTTTGATTATGATACTCCAAAAAGAAAAAAAGAAAAAGATTGCTAAATATTTATCTGTAGAATTAATGTGAACTCCATAACCGACATTCAAGGCCTTTTGTGTGCTGGTCCCAAACTACCATTCTAGGCATGCAGACTAGAATTTGGCCAAACCAAACTCCCTGTGTTTCCCCTGATGCTGCTCATGCATTTCCTCTGCCTGCAGAGCTTTCCTCCCGCCTATCCCCATCTGTGGAGTTCCTATGCTTCCTACGGCACCTGCCATCTCCCTTACACTGAGTTCTCAGGCGGACGTCTGTCTGGTCTCTCCTGAACCCCACAGCACTCTGGTTCTGTTTCCTATGAGCAGCAATTCACATTGTCTTATTTTTCCTGTTCTTATAAGTGACCCTAAGGGCAGAGGTTGTCAAGCTCAACTTTTATTGTCTACAGGGCCTAACACTAGTACTATACAGACACTCCCATGAACATGATGAGTAAAAACCAAACTAACCTCCAAGAAACTCTTCTCTAAGGCCACACGGATGTTGGTCTCTATGCTGGTGCGTTTCTTCCTCCTACGGTTCAAGCCCTCAATTCCCAGCCCTGGAGAATTCAGGGCACTTGGGCTGGAAAGAGCAGAATCAGATGAGAGATTCTCTGTAAGAAAGAAAAAAGCATGGAAATAAAATTAGGTCAGCATAACAATTCATGCATGTAATGCATACATTAACAGAAAACCTGGCCAAAATATTTTAAGCAATAAGCAAGCATAAAAAAGGTTTTCACATAAGCTGCATTAATGTATTTTTCATTACTATGGCTCTTCATACTTTCCTTATTGGTGCTTTGTCCCAGGCTGGTAACTATATTGTCACCACTACTTTTTCTGCTTCTGAGAAAGCAGAAGTTCGCTATTCCTACCCTTAGACTCAGCTCTACCTCTTCCCAGTTCTGTTCTTACGTTTTATTTTTTTATTTATTAACTCTGGGAACAAAAGGAAGAAAATATCTTGGAAATTACTAAGCATTTAATATTTATCTTGCAAATGATCCCTCATTTTTTAATCTAAGGCAATAAACAATGAAATACTTTTAAATTCTTCTTTAAAGTTAAAACAGGTTCTGTTATTTAATAGTTTCATGCCCCTGGGCATGGCATACACATCCCCAAGTTTCTTTTCCCCATATGTAAGATGAGATGGATGGATGGAGCAGACCAGTGGTTCTCCTGTATGGAACTATGTAAGACTACAGATGCCTGGGCCTCACCCAGAGCTACTGATTCAAACCGCCAAGGGTGGGTGTCTCTGGCTTATCTTTTCCAAACACCTGATTTTTTTCACATCTACAGTGAGAACCACAGACCAGGGGTCTTTCTGGTTCCTTACAGTTCTCACAGTCTGTGATTCTGGGACTCAAATTCAATTTTCCATAAGGAAACATGAGCACAAAACAGATAAATTAAAAATTAGTATGGAATTATGTATGGAATATGTGGGGTCATTTTTAATAACAAAAGCAGAATCATTACCAGGAATAAGTTTTATAATTCATGGAGGAAGAATCAGTAAACCTGTTTTTCAGGTTTATCTAAATACGGAGGCTTTCTTACCCTCTTCCTTCAACTTTGTGTGTGTCCCTCACCCTGGCTCAAATACAAGAAACATCTCAGGGCTAAAAATTATTGCTGATTGCTCACACTCTAACTACTAGAATATTTTAATGAAATAACTCTCTGATTCACAAAGTCATACTTTATATTGGTCCTCCCAGGATTAGGGAGCTTTAAGGTTTGGTAGTACCAATAATGCAATAAAAAATACGAACTCCAACTTACAAAACAATCTCCCTTGTGAACTTCCAAAGGACAATAAGGACATTTCTTATATATTCACCCACCTGCATCATTTAGCCACTTCTCTAAAAGCGGCTTTAACTTGCACATGTTCTTAAAGCTGAGGTTCAAGGCTTCAAAGCGAGAGATGGTCGTCTGGCTGAAGTCATTTCCATACAGTTTACCCATAGCGAGCCCAACATCACCCTGCACAACAATCCAGAGCAGGAGAGGGGAGACAAAAAGAGCGATTCATCTTACTAATGCTTACAGCCTTCACTCTGGGGTACCTCTCCAATAACTGCTCTAGACAAAGAGCCCACAAATCATCCCACTTTCTGGGTCCCACAAAAACACTCGTCTCTAAACTGAGCACCATATTCCAGTGAGGACTCTTAGGTAGACCTTGATCAAAACATTCAACACTGTCCTGTACATTCTCCATTTTGAATCTCTTCTTGCCACCTTATGGAAAAATTAAGATACCAAATGTTTCTACTAAGTCTCAAAAGATAGTACTGATATTTCATCAAGCCCCTTAACTGATGCAACCGAAGTGATTTAATAATCTTAAAAGACAATTTACCTGTACCACCTACAGGGTTAATGGATATAGCTCTCTAGATAATCGTAGGTATTTCTGAACTAACCAAAGTTCCAAAAAAATCACTTTAAAATTTAGAAATGATTCCTTATTCTTTTTTTTCCCCTGTAAAGTATTTCTGGAAGCAGTGGGAAAAAAAAAAAAAAAAAAACCTATTTTCTACCCTTAGTTTGGATTTCAAAGTTGGTTACAAAAAGCAGGTATTCTAAAAGACCTTTTTTTAATAACCATTACAGAGGGAGAAATTCACAGTAGAGAGGTTTGACCCATTTAGTCAAACTTTCATGGGCGCTGGAAACTTGGTAACCTTATGGCAACAGAACAATGATTCCCTGAATATATTACAAAAGATACGTCTCTCTATAAACCTAAACCTTTGAAATGTATATAGTGCTTTTCTTCCAGCTGAATCTCTCTTATAAAAGCTGGGAAAAGCCATATTTTACACTTATTTTATACACAGGCAACAGAAGCTCATGGAGCTTAAATGATTCACCCACTCATTTCAATTAGTTTAGTGACAGGGCAGAAAGGCAACAATATTTCTGGTCCAAAGTACTACATAGCTAATTCTGAGACAGTCAACTCCCAACTATCCTGGCAATACGTATCTTGAATTGGGATTATTCTTATCTTTGACATTTTCCCCCTTAAAATCCATCTTTCGGGTAGTACAATGTTTATTAGCACCTGCACTAATGATAGTAAGGGAAAGGACAGAAAATTGTTTAACTCCATTTTCTTACTGGCAAGCAACTGCTGATAAAAAGTTCTACAGAGGAGAAATGCTGGAACTATAAGATAAAATGATAGAGAATATCTGAACTTCAGGGATCTATACCCTATGCTATTCAATACAACAGTTACCAGTCATATGTGGCTACTTAAATTTATTCAAAATGAAATGAAATTAAAAATTCAGTTCTTCAGCACTATAAGCCACCTTTCAAGTGCTCGATGGCCTTATGTGGCTAGAGGCTACTGTGCTGGACAGCATAAATACAGAACATTTCCATCACTGCAGAAAGTTTGGCTGACCGCTCCGACACACTATCTCTAACTAGCACTGAAGTGGACTGTTTATCGATTTCCTTCCAATTACAGTAAAACTGAAAGAAACAGGATAGTGTGAGTGGGCCAAAAATGTCATCCATTATATCTATATCTATATATCAGTGTGTGTGTGTATATATATGTATACAGACTCATACATACACATATATGTATTTATTAAATGTTACTTCATTCAACCAACAAATATTCACTAAATGTCTATTTATGCATCAGGTACTGAACTTATTATGCCTTGTGTGTCACACGTATTCATGGCTCAGTTACTTTATTTATTTGGATTGTAACTTTCTAGAAAACTGGGGCCAACTGACTCTTGTAATTCTTTGAGTATAGGGCCTGATACAGCAATTAGATGGTACAAAATGTTTTCTGATGTTATAGCTGCATAATTCTCTAAGAATTTTTCACAAACTTCTGCAATATCTTTCTACGGAAAGTAACAATTTTGACAGGTAAGCAAAACACACACACACATACATACACACATACACACACACACACACACACACACACACACATATACACACACACACTCCTTCAAAAATCACATAAGAATAAGAAACAATACCTTAAATTGGTAGCTGGCAACATAATGACAAAACCACTAACTGGGATTTATAATACAAGTTTACCTCATAATTAAATTGTGTAATTGAATAAAAAGCAAGAGGTTCCTCAGTTAACACACACATTTTTATTAATTTGGTACGTGCCTGGTTTAGTGCTTATGTCATTCAAACCACCTAGGGTTCTCCCTCACAAAAGTTTTAAGCAGCTGACTCATGCATAATCTATATTAGATCCCTTTGATATTTTTAAAACAGCAAGGGGGAGAAAAGGAACAAAGACTAGGATGGAAAAACAATGACTACACCACATCTAATGAATGTATTCTACTGTGGCATGCCTTCTAATTATGTAATGGCATTCACAGGAATCTCTTAATAACCAACTGCGTAATTAGAAAACTACTGTTAAAAATATCTAATTACATGTATATTTACTCAAATAATAGGATAGTTTATGATTTAACAAATAACTTGAATGTCTAACTCCCCTTTGTGTTACATATACATAGTAAAATAAATTGGATACAAAGCAATCTTTGAATAACTATTAATTGAGGTATTTAACTGGTGCTGATTTCCCATCCTGCACCAGCAATATGTGCTTAAATCCATGTAATCAGGGTGTGTGAACTGTTGTCACTGCTGTGACAAAGTATTTTGATAAACAGGGCTCAGGTTGTGCCAAGAAGTAGGACATAAAACTGTAAAGCAGAACATCAGACCATACGAAAACTCCTTTACATCGAATAAAAAAAGAAAAGCACAACACCAGCAAAATATCACAGAAAGGCATACTGTTTGGGTGAAAGTCAAAGACTTTTAAAAGCCTTAACATCCTTGGCCTATCACTTAGGCAACAATCTCCCAGGGAACTAAAGAGTCTAAAAAATTGAAGCACTATTAAATACATCAATCTTAACTTACTTATCCTTACTCAGTCTAGTTTTATCTTTAGCTATCTTTCTAAAACAAGCCATATTGTTTAGATGCATCAAAAGTACTAAAACGCTTCTGAATTGTAATCTGTTTCTTAACATCCAGATGCAGAATACATACAAGAAGGTCATGCCTGGTTTTTTCATCTACCAGAGCAGTGGTACACTGCTGTACTTTCATATGAAATAATCTGGGTAGTATTTAAATGGTGGCTTAAATTTCAAACAATAATTCTATTCTCTGGAAAGAAAACATCAGGTCTTTCCTGGTTCCATAAAATACCAAATCCAATCCATACTTCAGTATTATTTTTCACCTAATGATCTTTATCATTTTACATAAACGTCACTCAGTTTTAATTTCTTTCCTGCTTTAAAGGTATTATTTGTGACAGGTTAATAAAAAGAGTAAGTCAGTGGCAGTGTTTAGAAAAATGCTATTTTCCCAGATGCCAGTTTAAACCACTCAAAACATATTCCACTTTAAAAGTTCTCTGCTAAGTGAAATCAAAAAAAAAAAAATTTGAGTTTTGATTAATTTGGAATTTTCACCTTCAATGGATGATCTGATTAGTTAGTTTCACATTGGGGTTTATAGTATATATGTGTGTGTGTCTTTTTCCCTCTCTCCAAAAAAACTATCTTTAAATTAGCCTTTCAAGCTTTCCACCTTTCAGCTATTACAAGAAACTATAATCTTTACTCTCAGTCTTAAATATATAGCACTTAGGTCTAGAACCCCATGTTCTTCAAATAACAAAACCTTCAGTATAATCATATCGTCCCTCAGCGTAATCTTCTCAACTCTCACAATTTATTGATATAATTATGATTTCAGGGGACTATGTTCTGAGAGAAATCTTAAAGGTTTTAACCTAATGTTAAAATTTAAACTTATAACTGAATGTATATATTAATAATCTAAACTTGTAAATGCAGGAAATGGCTAAGAAAAAGGTACAGTTTAAAACCACAAAACAAGGCTGAGGAATATATTGTTCCTTAGAAGCCTCTATGGGTATGTACAGCAAAGATTTAGACCCAGTTGAGGAGGGAAATCTAAGTAAGGGTGGGTTTATCCTACCTGAGTGAATCCAAGTTTGATTCGTCTTTGTTTGAAGGTCTTGGCAAATTGCTCAAGCTCCTCAAGGTCACTGGGCTCGTCCAAGCTGGGAGTATCAATTCGCTTTGGTGTTGACTGGCTCTGTGGAAGTGTCTGGATTGGGGTTGCTGCTATTGTGCGTGTTGGGGTTGCTGGCTGTTAGAGAGGGAACAGAACAATAAGAACAAATGTACAAAAAGATATTTAAGTTTACAACTGGAGCGTGCTGCAGTAAACAACTTAAGGAAACAGCTGTATTCATAGAGAATTATGAAGACCATGCAACACTACAGAAAAAAGTTACAGCACAGAGTTAAGTGGGAAAAGCTGAGTGTAAAATTATGTATACCATAATTACAGTTAAGGTTAAAAATGTAAGTTTATGGGGAAAAAAACCTCATTCTACTTGGTTTTTCAAGTGGTTTGAATATATGTATCTTGTGCCTTTTAATAAAAAGGTATTGTTAATGCTCACAAAACACTCCTCTTTATTTCTAAGAATCTATTTCATAAATATGCCACTTAGACTGCATGTTTTAAAACAGCAGAGACCATATCAATTTGGTTTATCACTATCATATCTCTAACATGTAACTCAGTAGTATAAAAATGTTAAAACTATTTTAAGGGAGAAAAGTAAATCAGCTGGAGTTTAAAGATTTATATTTTTAACTGTGACTGTAATTATGGTGTACATAATTTTACACTTTGCTTTCCTCATCTAACACTCTGTAACTTTTTTCTACAGTGTTATATCGTCTTCATGATTAACATTTTCAACGACTGACCGAGGCAGTATTATTATTGTTTATTTAACCACTTCTTCATTGCTGGGTACTTATTTTTCATTTGTGTTTTCACTAACATAGACAACACCACAAGGAAAAACTTGGTGCATGTAATTATTTTCTTCACCTTTGTAATTAGTTCTTGGAGATAAATTCACAAGACTTTCTGGTAACTCAATATAGGGTATACTCTGAACAATGTTATGGTTTTGATACACATCATAATGTTGGTTCCCACCATACAATGTTAGGTCCCCCGCATGATTTGTGTTAGCAGTTTTTAAAATGGCACTCCACTGTTGCCTTAATTTGTATTTCTCTTATTACATAAAGTCAAAATTTTTCCATGTGTCAGTTATTATTTGTATTTCCTTTGATGTGAATTGGATTTACATTCTTAACCCACTTATGTATTAATGATATCCTCATTTTTATCTTTAAAAAACAAAAACAAAAAAACCAAACCTACTGCTGTGAATTCTGACTCATAACGACCCTAAAGGACAGAGTAGATCTGCCCCATAGGGTTTCCAAGGAGCAGCTGGCTGGTGGATTGGAACTGCCAACCTTTTGGTTAGCAGCCCTAGTTCTTAACCACTGTGCAACCAGGGCTCTTTCATCCTTACAGAGCTCATCAGATGATACAGATTAAGCCTCTGTCTGCCATATTAATGCAAATAATTTTCACAATCTGCTCTTTTCCTTTTATTTTCCAGTGTATATTAATTTTAAATTATCATTTGGGTGAACATTTTTTCCCTAATATCTTCTCTTACTTCAAATCTGAGAAAGCTTTCACTTATTTCTAACCTGATAAAATTCCTTTTAACGTTCTACTAGCTTTTTCTATGTAATTTAAAAATATTTAATTCCTTAAAGCTAGCTAAAGTTTATTTTGAGACACAAGAATATACTTTTATTTTTTTAAAGAAAATATTAAATTTCCTTATTACACAAACACGAGACTACTCTGTTCTTCCCAAAAGCCCCAAGTAGAACATGCCTGTCTAGCGGGAGGTGCTGTGCCAACTCTGCACTGTAACTGCTCAGCTGACCTGTTCTGTGTACTATAGTCCAGGTGTGAGGTTACAGGCCAGGATTACAGACGAAGTCTGTGCCTGTGGGTTTTTCTTCTTGTAATTTAACAGGCTCATAACTCCTGACCTTGACCTCGTTAGTAATGTGCTGTCTCCAACTGAACTAACTGGCCTAGAAGAGTACACAATAGACATTACACAAGCAACAACTGGGGGAAGCGACTTTCTATTATCCTGCTTCAATGGAGACAACAAAGTTCATCTCCATGACTCACTGACACTGAGTAAATTTTCAACCTGACTGTTTTGGAGGAGCCCAAAGCAGTATCAATCATATCAGGATCCTCTAACGAGGATTCTCACAGTGAAACTTAGTTGATAGGGAGAGGTGAGTCTCAGCTATCAGAAGTAGCCCCGTTCTCAAATAATAAAGGACTAAAAATAGCTTGGGTACCTTTAGGTGGGGTGGTTACAGATAAGTTACCCCAACTCCAAAAACCTCAGGCTGGATTGGGCCAGATCTAGAAACGGCAGAGTAGAATTCAGTGAGCAGGGGTCAAGATGACGCTACAACAACCCTGCCACCATGTGCAGAGCATGCAGGCCAGGAAGGAGTCTCCAAAACCCCAACCTCATCCTTATTCAGATACAGTTTACATAGAATTAAATCCACCAGTTTACAGTGTACAGCTTGATACGTTCTGACAAACACAGACGATCATATAACTGCTAACACAATCAAGATACAGAAAATTTCCATCATCCCAAAAGTTTCTTTGTGCCCCTGCGCAGTCAGTCCCCACCCCTAATACCCAGCCTCTGACAAGCACTGATCTGACTTTGGTCCCTACAGTTTTGTCTTTTCATATAAATTGAATCATACAATATGGAGTCTTAGATGTCTGGCTTCTTTGACTTAGCACAATGCTTCTGAAATTCATACATGTTGTTGCATGTACCAGAAGTTCATTTCTTTTTATTGCGAGTAGCATGCCATCATATGGATATACCAACATTCATTTTATCTATTCATCAGCGGATGGACATTTAGTTTGATTCCAGTTTGGGACAATTAAGAATAAAGCTGCCATGAACATTCATATAAGATCTCTGTGCTGACATATGCTTTTATTTCCAGGAGAAGAATTGTGGGGTCATAATGTACATGTACACTTAATTTTATAAAAAAAAACCTGCCAAACTTTTTTCCAAAGTGTCTGTACCATTTTGTAACCCCACCAGCAATGTATGATAGTTCCAGCTGCTTTACATTCTTGTCAACACTTGCTATTATCATAGTCTTTTTAACTTTGCTCATCCTAGAGCGTGTATAGTAGCATTTCATTCTCATTTCTCTGATGACTAACGATTTTGAGCATCTTTTCATGTTTCTTAGATGTTTACATATTTTCTTCAGTGAAGTATCTTCAAATTTTTTACTTTTTTAAAAAATCACATTGTCTTATTATTGAGTTGTATAAGTTCATTACATATTCTAGATGTCTTTTATTGATACATGTTTTAAGAATATTTTCTCATAGTTTGTGATTTTTCATTCTCCTAAGAGAAGTTTGTAATTTTTATGAAATTAAATTTATCTTGTTTTTTCTTTTATGGTTAGTGCTTTTTGTGTCCTATTTAAGGAATCATTTTCTTACTCAAGGACACAAAAAAATTCTCCTAAGATTTATTCTAGAAGTTTAGATTCTAGAAGATTCATTTCAAATTAATTTTTGTACATGGTGTCAAATAAGGGTCAAAGTTCTTTTTTTTTACATATGGACACCTATTGTTTCAGCATCATTTGTTGCAAAAACTTTCCTTTTCCCACTGAAATTTTTAGTAGACTTTTTGCTAGAATTTTCAATATAGACAATCATGTTTTCTATTAATGAAGACAGTTTTACTTCTTTCCTTCTAATCGGTATGCCCTTTCATTTTCTTGCCTTATTGCATGGCTAGGGCCTTCAGTAAAATGCTGAACAGAAGTGATAACAGTAGGTATCTTTGCCTTGTGCCAGATCTTAAGGGGAAAGTATTCAGTCTTTCATCATTAAGAATGGATGTTAGGTTTTTTTGAGGATGCCCTTTATCAAGGTTGACGAAGTCACCTTCTCTTCCTAGTTTGCAGGAGTTCTCAATCATAACTGAGTGCTGAACTTTGTCAAATTTGGTAATGTGTTAGTATTAACTGATAACTTCCATGACTGCAGACAAAGAGAGTTAGAGCCAGAAGTGGAATTCATCATTAGACAGTTCAATCATCTAATTTTACAAATGAGGAAACTGAGGTTCAGAGAGGTGAAATGACATGCTCAAAATCACAGCTAGCTAAGAAGCAGAAGGTGGTCTAAAACTTAAATCTTACATGCTTAGATGCTTTTTATATGATTTAATTCTAGTGGGAGTGAGCTAAAGTAATACCTGAGAGTTCAGAAGAAAGGAAAGAAACACAGAGATCAAAGGTTCTTTGCAGTTTCTGAGAAAAAGCAAAGGCCAATGATGGGTTTTAACTGAGTTTTAATGAGTTTTAGTTCAAATGGTAAACTCTACTGCTAACTAGTGGAGTAGAGAAGAAGTCAAATGGCTACGACTCATTACTCATTTACCCCGAAGAAAATTATCCTTCATGAACATATAAGAAAACAGGTTGGACTTGAAGATTTTCATAGGCAGCATTAATTTGGAAGCATTGCTTTATTAGGCTGCCAAGTCTAACTCAACTTTTGGTCAGTTACTGAAAACTATTTAGATTATTTTTATAGGATGATTTCTAAAAGAAAAAAATTATACAAAGCCCAGAAGCTCCCCCCGGGCCAAACAACAGGACAAAAGAAAGCAACCCTCACAATGGCAGAAAACTGACCTGGGAGGTGAGGGTGATGCTTGGCTGCGACTGTAGGAGGTTGGCTTGGCTTTGCTGAGGTAGTTGCGTTAAAAGATTTTGCGCTTGCAGGAGACCTGTAAATCACAAGCATAGCATGCCAGAAACATTAAACATTACTTTCAACAAATGGCAAAAAGAAAGAATAAGAAAGTAAACTGAAAATTTCCAAACGATCTCCTGGTAATGTAACTGGTCTTAATGTCTAATTTGCCTAAAATCTAACCTTGTTAAATACAACTTGGGCAAGAAGCTACGCAACAGTAAACTACAACTGACAATGTCTTTACTGTAACCTGAATAACTTCTCTGATTGGCCAAGTATTTATTTCAGTAAGTAATGCATGAAAGTAAAAATGGGAGATATTTTTCTTCTTCCAGACAAGATCATATTTTATTATACTGATTCGCCACTTACTTGATCATTTGCCTACTCCTCAAAAGTTAGGTTGACTACAACATTTTCCTCCTCTTATTAACCCTTTGAGGACCATTACTTCTTTTCTTAATTTTTTTTTTATTGTACTTTAGGGAAGGTTTACAGAACAAATAGTTTCTCATTAAACACTCAGTACACATACTGTTATATGATATTGGTTAACAACCCCACAACATGTCAACACTCTCCCTTCTCGACTTTGGAGGACCTTTTTTTTTTTCTTGGTGAAAATATACATAACCAAAGTTACACCACTTCAGAAATTTCTACATGTAAATTCAGTGACATCAACTACATTCTTCCAGTTGTGCTGCTATTCTCACTATCCTTTTCCAAATTATTCCATCACCATTATCTTCAGCTCACTGCCTCCTAGGCTTTCCATCAAACCTTTTGAGTTGCTGCTGTCAATTAGATCTCACATACATCTTTTTTTTAACCTTAGACAAAGGTTTACAGAACAAATAATTCCTCATTAATCAGTTAGTACACATATTGCCTTATGACAATGGTTAACCCCATGATGTCAACACTGTCCCATCTCAGTTCTCTATTACCAGCTTTCCTGTCCCCTCCTGCCTTCTAGTCCTTGTCCCTGGACTGCTGTGTCTCACTAGTCCCGTTTTCTTTTATGGGGCTGTCCAATTCCTGGCTGAACGGTGAACTTTGGGAGTAACTTCACCTCTGAGCCAAAAGGATGTCCGGGGGCCATACTCTCGAGGGTTCTCCAGTCTGTCAGGCCAGTAAATCTGGTCTTTTTTTGTGAGTTAGAATTTTTTCATCCTTCTTCAGTTCTGTCCAGAACCCTCTGTTTTGACCCCAGTCAGAGCAGTTAATGGTGGAGGCCTTGGTAGCTGTGGACAATTAGTCCTTCGGACTAATCTTTTCCTTGTATCCTGTTCTCTTCATTCTCCCTTGCTCCCTAACGGGTGAGACCAGTGGATTATCTTAGATGGCTGTTCATAGGCTTGCAAGAGCCCAGACACTACTTACCAACGTAGAATGTAGAACATTTGTCTTTATAAACTGTGTTATGCCAATTGAGCTAGATGTTCCCCAAGACCACGGTCCCCACAGCCCTCAGCCCAGCAATTCAGTCCCTCAGGGAGTTTGGATGTGTCTATGGAGCTTCCATGACCTTTCCTTGAACAAGTTGTGCTGGCTTCCCCAGTATTCTGTACTATCTTACCCTTCACCAAAGTTACCACTTCTGTATTGTCTATTTAGTATCCCCCAACAGCACCCCTCCCATCCCTTGTAACCAAAAAAGATCGTTTCTTTTTCTGTGTAAACTTTTAAGAGTTTTTAGAGTAGAGGTCTCATACAATATTTGTCCTTTTGTGTTTGACTTATTTCACTCAGCACAATGTCTTCCAGTTTCATCCATGTTATGAGGTGCTTCACAGATTCATCATTGTTCTTTATCGTTGCATAATACTCCCTTGTGTACATGCACCATAGTTTATCTATTCATTTGTTGATGGGCATCAAGGTTGTTTCCATCTTTTTGCTACTGAGAACAGTGCTACAATGAATATGGGTGTGTATGTCTATTTGTGTGACGGCTCTTATTTCTCTAGGATATATTCCTAGAAGTGGGATAGCTGGATTTATGGTATTTCTAGCTTTCTAAGGAAGCGCCATATCATTTTCCAAAATGATTCTATCATTTTGCATTCCCACCAGCACTGAATAAGAGTTCCGATCTCCCCACAGCCTCTCCAACATTCGCAATTTCCAGTGTTTTTGATTCATGCCAGTAATACCGGGGTGAGATGGTATCTCATAGAGGTTTTCATTTGCATTTCTCTAATGGCTAGTGATTGTGAGCATGTCCTCATGTGTCTGTTGGCCGCATGAATATCTTGTTTGGTGAAGTGTCTGTTCATTTCCTCTGCCCATTTTGTAACTGGATTGTCTTTTTGTTGTAGAGATGTTGGATTTTCTTGTAGATTTTAGAGATTAGACGTTTGTCTGACTTGTAATGTCCAAAAATTTTTTCCCAGTCTGTAGGTTCTCTTTTTACTCTTTTGGTCAAGTCTTTTGATGAGCATAAATGTTTAATTTTTAGAAGATCCCAGTAGTCTAGCTTACCTTCTGGGGTTTGTGTGTTCATGGTTATGGTTTGTATCCTGTTAATGCCATGCAATAGGGCCTGTAGCATTGATCCTATTTTTCTTCTATGAACTTTATAGTTTTGTGCTTTATATTCAGGTCTTTGATCCATTTTGAATTAGTTTTTGTGTATGGTGTGAGGTATGGGTCCTGTTTCATCTTTTTGCAGATGGACATCCAGTTTTGCCAACACCATTTGTTAAAAAGACTGTATTTTCCCCACTTGATGGACTTTGGACCCTTGTTGAATATCAGGTGGCTGTAGGTAGATGGATTTACATCTGGGTTCTCAATTCTGTTACACAGGTCAATGTATCTGTCATTGTACCAGCACCAGGCTGTTTTGACTACCATAGCTGTATAGTAGGTTCTGAGGTCAGGTAATTCGAGTCCTCCTACTTTATTCATTTTTCTTCAGTAGAACTTTTCTTATCTGGGGCTTCTTCCCTTTCCATATAAAGTTAATGATTACTTTTTCCATCTCTTTAAAGAATGCTGTTGGTATTTGGATTGGGATTGCACTGTATTTGTAAATTGCTTTGGG